CCCCCAGGAAGAGTGGGGGGTGGATGTTTGGGGAATAAAAATCCCCACACTTAAAGTTGTCAAGGTTGAGAAACACTGATCTAAGCTATTTCTTAGGATTGGTTTATTTTTTCCTTTTTATTTTCCCTTCCCATTTTCAGAATATTAGGTGGATGTTGTACCAAACCAGATGTATTTCTCTGGGCCCCAAACTCCTCTAATCTCAATGGAGTCTCCATGAAGTTGTGAGCGTTATCTCTGCCACAGAAACTTGCAACTAGCCAGTAAAGATGGAGGCCAGACTATATACTGTAGAGCTTCCACAATACTGTTCCTTTTGAGTTTTAGCAACAGAACACTCACAACAAATGTGATTTTTATCAATGGAAATGGCACTTAACACAAAGTTTGGTCATTAGGCTAATAAGGAAGCATTACCAGTGGAATTACATCTATTTCTGTATGTGGATCTGGCAAAATAAATGCCAAGGCCTATATGGTGGGGGAGTATATTTTTGAAAATTTGGTTTCAAACAGGGATGGAAACATTTCCTTGCTCCTAGGGCACACTGAAAGCTTGCAATCATCAGTAGACCAAAGACAGATTAGCTCCCCCTATTCAGGAATTTTGGTAGTGTGTGCAAGGACTAAAACTAAATAGAGGAGCCAAACCATATTTGAACATAAGCCCCAGACCTTCATATTCTCTTACACATTGGCTCCCCCCCCCCGACCTTCTATTGGTTGAGCATGAAGGTCTGAGAAGGGATTCTGAGCATGTTCAGCTGTATACATTTGGAAGCTTTGTGCAGCTGTTAATCCTGCTTATCCATGTGCCCCCAGCTCCCTTTCCGAGTAGTACTACTTAAGTGACAGATCCCTTCTCATCAGTTGAAAGCTAAGGTACATGGCCAAAGCATTGTGATTAAAACATGGGTTAGATCTGTAAGAGCAGAGATCATTAGGCAGCTTTGGTGTGATTATGTTATTATGCAGTCAATTTACGTTTCTTTAATGTGCAAATTTCAGTCCACCTTCGGTATAACGTCTTTACTATGATACTGTCAGTGAGCACTGACTCCTGATGTGTGCATATGTCAAAACAGTTTTGACACAAGTACCCAATCAGTGCACAACTGCTACATGAAACTATTGCCTTCCTCTTGGACTTTCCAATGCATGCTCCAAGGCAGCTGAATTTGTGCATTTTGGGAAGTATTGTGCTTGCAGTAGCCATTAAATTGAGAGAACCAAAAGGACTGAAATCTGCTGAACAACAGATATATGTAAAAGATATCTAAATCAAGAAGAAATATGGGAAGGCATGGACTTAAAAAAAAAATCAAATTCTTGCAATTAATATTTTTCAACTCAATAAAGTTTTTTAAATTTTGTCATCCTTTTTCTTTACCACCTCAAATAACAGTTCTGCACTCTGGCACATTTTCCGTAATTGTGTTTTCCTTCTAGTTTGGGAAGACCCCTTCCCTCATTTCTTTAAAACTTCCTTTCCTAATGGTATTTCTGCAGCCGCTTAATTTCATTGGCATAGTATCCGTGATTGAACGCTGCTGTTCCTCTTTCCACCTCTGTTGAAACAACTTTACAAAATGAACAACTGCCTAAACTATTTGCTTTGGCAAAAAGGAAGTCACTGGAAAGTTTGGTGGTAGGAGGGTTGCTGGCACTGAACTCTACAGGCCTATTATGTCATAAGATGAAGGAGTGATAGCTTGGAGAAAAATTATTTATTTTAACAAAACTACATTTATATCTCTCGGGTTACAAAATTAAGGGGCATGTCATCCATATTACCAGGCAATACATTTAAAGGTCTGGGTTTGATGGCCATCTTAATAATTCCCAAAGGATTTTTACTGAGTACTGGGGAAATGAAATTGCTGTAGGGAAAGAATCAGGCAAAAATACAGATATGGAACGGCAAGGAGAGGAACCAAGAGCCATGGATGCAGAAGGACTGTTGCTATATCCAGAGCTGAACAATAACAGAGAAAACTGTTTTTGGATTGGTAGAGTTAAACAGAAGTGAATTAACAAAAAAGAGGGACCAGAATTTAGCAGGCCTTCTGAGCTACAGAATTGCATTGCAGTAGAAGGAAAAGGGTCACTAACTCCAATGTTGACAGAACCTGCCAGTGTGTAATTTCATCATAGAAGCCATTGAAGATCTAATAGAATTTGTGAGATGGGACTTTCTTTCTCAGCTTACATCGGCAGATCACTGAACACATCATCACTGTAGCCTCAGTGCCAGGCAGAGGTCAACATTCAAACAGTTAAAGGTTTAAAGGTATATATTATCCATGAGTAAGCATCCATTTAGTAGCATTTCTTCAAAAATACTGCGGCTAAATTACTAAGTTGTCATGTAAACTCTGCCTTATTGAGGTTTCATTTTTAAATATTGCTTGAATAACCACTGATTTATAATGGTATTTAGAAATTCTAAAAACAAGCCTGTTATTCCCCCTCCAAATGCTGGCAGCCTCCATTCTTTCATAGGTTTACTATTCCTATCAAAGAGACAAAATAATATGGCTGTTTGTTGATGATTGTTGGTGTGAGACATGGAGATTAGATTTTGGGTTTGAGATTTAGATCTGGGCTATAGTTGAATTGTAAAGATCCCATAATGGCTTTGAAGGTTTGTATCTGGAAGGGAAAGAGCTTGGACAAAGTCAGATGCTGTCTAAGCATTGGCCAACATCTCTACTGTTTCCTTATTGAGATTAAAATGTTTCATTTTAAAAACAGTCCCAAAGTGGAATGATACCCAAACTTCTAAAGTCCTCACCAAGTTCCACTGACGTTGTTGATGTGATTGTATCTTTATGGGTTCTCTGCAAGTCAGAAAGAGAAAAGAGTCATGTTCACTAGTCTGCATCATCCAAAAGAAATGGTTTAGCATCACGTCTGAATGGATAGCCTTGGGCTGTCAGTTTTCCATCAAGCCAGAATTTATGTTCCCTGCTTATATGGAGCAATGAACTAGGAATTAGTTTTTAGACCTTTCTTGCCAGAGAGTTCCTGGTTTGTCTAGCTGCTCACCCACTAGAAGAACAAACAGGAATAACTGGAAAGTATGCATAATAAACCAGGATTCTCTGTCATTCTGTTTCATTGTTTTGTGTGAATATGATGGAAACAGAAATTAAGAAAACTGCTAAATCCTCATGGTTGATAGCTTCAAGATTTCTTATAGCTAAATGGAAGCCTATTACTTGTGGTGCCTCCACTTTTTGTCCAGTCTAACATAAAAAATGGTATTACTACCAGTCCTGGATTGTTTATGTGTTCTGCTAAGTAAGCCCCCAAACTGCTCTGCAGCAGTCTAAGTGTTTGCACATTTGTCCATTTGATAATGCTTAGCATCTTATCTTTCTGAAGTGTATATTCTTTTTCTGGAAGCTTTTCTTAATGTATGCATTTTCCTATGCAGTTTTCCCTAATCTAGGGAAATTGCACATTAAAATCCAGGCGTTTGTGCATGGTTTTACCCAGTGTACTTCTAGATAATATTTTTAAGTTGCATCACAAAATTTAGGAAAGTGCAGTTTGATGAACAGGTACATTCCAGTCTTCGGTCAGTTCCAAAATTATAA